GGGAGGGAGTGGGCATGGATTTGATCAAAACACTTTATATGCATGTATGAAATTCTCAATAAAGTTTTTGTAAAAATTAAAAAATAAGTAAATAAATTATCTCCTTGGGACAATAGATACAACTGTGAACATGGTCACATTGACTGCACACCTTTGCAAAAGGTCAGTTAAGAATAAGGCCCAGGCCTCTTAGCAACCTACTCCATTCCAAAGGCCAAAAATGTCGAAAATATTTTGGAGCTTTCATCTAATCCTTAAAAGATTTTAGGGTTACCTCTTCAGAAGGGGGAATGTTAAAGTAGCCAAAATACCCATAAAAAAATAAAGAAGAAGAAAGAGTACATGAAGTTATCAGAAAAAAAGTGATACGGAGATATGGGAGGAGTTGGAGGGGAGGAAGTGGGCATAGATTTGATCAAAATACCTTATACACATGTACGAAATTCTCAATAAATTATTTATTTAAAAAATTAAAAAAAGAATAAGGTCCAGGGCTGGAGAGATGGCCCAGTGCTCATCAGTTAAGAGTGCTGGCTGCTTTTAAGGAGGACCAGGATTCAATTCCTAGCACCCACATGGCAGCTAACAACCTTTCGTAACTCCAATTCCAGTGGCTCCGACACCCTCTTCTGACCTCCTCCAGCATTGCACGACACAGGTGCATTTACACACATATAGGCAGTATACTCATACCATACACATAAAATAAAAATAAGTTTTTTTTAAAAAGAATAAGGTTCAAAGTAGAATGGTAAGAATCTACATTCTTTTGTGGGCATTAGAAGGGCCTGATGATTGGGTGAATATAAAGGAAAGAGGAAGATTCAAATGCTGATAGCTTATATAAATTCAAAATGAGGCAAAACTAAGCTGTGCTATTAGAAATCAAGGTATGAGTACCATTGGAAAATCAGTGCAAAGGAGAACAGTGTGACTCCCTAGGCATGTAATGTTCTGCTTCTTGATCTGAGTGTTGGTTAGATGGACGTGTTCGGCTTGTAAAAATTTATCAGGCTACCTATTTAGGAAATGTTTGCTTTTCTCTGTTTGTTTTGGTCCATGGTTGCCTTTAGGCCTCTGGTAAAGAAGCACATCATGATAGGGAACACGTGTCAGAGGAGGCTGCTCACCTCATGAAGTCCTGGAAGCAAAGAATAACAGAAGAGGCCAGGGTCCCAACATCCTCTTCAAGGGCATGCCCACAGTGACCTTCTACCAGGCCTGCTTTCTAAAGGAATATCAACAACAACACCATTAGCTATTAACCAAGACCTCAACATTAAGTAATAAACCATTCCAAGTTAGTGTCATAAAACAATAGCCATTTTAGAATGCTCTCAGATTCTGACAGTCTGACAGATGCAGCAGGAATGGCTTATCTCTGGTCCATGATGCCTGGAGCTTCACACAAGGAGCTCAGATGCAGGAATGACTTGAGGGTAGTCACCAGAATCATCTGAAGCCTTCTTCAGTCACACGCACAAAGCCTGGGCAGGGACAAATCAAAGGCTGAACTCAGTTGGAACTTCCAAACAGAGTTTCTCACAATGTGGTGATCAGGCTCTAAGAGAAAGTATCCTGAGATGGAGTGATCATACAGCAAGAATTCCAAGAGACCCAGAGGGTAACAGCATGACCTTTTATGTTGTAACCTCTAAAGTCACACAATTATTCTCTTACAGGTTGACACAGTTAGAAGGGAACAATATCAAAGCCTTTGTGGTCATTTTTTAAAGTTTCTACCATGTTATATAATAGTAGTAAATATTTGTCCCAGGTTTTTGACAGAAATAAGGGCTGTAGAAGAAAGAATAGGTGAAGGAAAATGGTGAATGTGGGCTATCAAAGTGGAATCCAATATACAGTTAGTCATGGAGACAACTGAAACTCAAAGAGAATTACTGATAGTCACTAGATGGCAAAGAATCCTGTGAGTGACCAGGACCAGCCAGAAAGTGTCTGAAAGATGGAAAGAGAGGAAGACCTACAGCATAGTCGTAAAAACACCAACCTAGAAGGGATGGGTAAAGGAGCTTATCAAAGAGACTGAAAATAAACAGAAAACCAAGAAATGATGACATCACAAAAGCTATGAAGAAAAATGTTTTTGGAAAAAAATATTGAAGATTGTACATATTTCTTCCAAGAAACCAAAAAACTTGAAGCTGACAGTTTCCTGTAACTGTGTAAAACACTTCACAAGTTCCCCGTTGCCTTTTGGTCAAATTCAGGTTTTGTTTTACGGCTGACTAAACGCTCCCTGATCTGGTCTCTATCCATCACTAAGCCTCACCTGTCACTACCTTCCTTTTCTTGTCCTCATTTTTTTTAATTAGGGGCCTTCGAAGTGGCTCAGTGGGTAACAGCACTTGTACAAACCTGAGCACCTGAGTTAGATCCCTGGCTCTACCAACTGACTGCCAAAAGTTGTACTCTGACTGCCACACCCATGTTATGAAATGTGTGTCTGAATTCACATGCACACATACACACACAATGGTGACAATAAAAGTTAAAATATTTTTTAAACAATTGATATTCCTCTAGTCATTGTAAGTTTTGCTGTGTCTATGCCTTTGCCCACTTCGTGCACACTCTTTGTGCTGTTCTGTTATCTCTATGCCTAACTCATGTGTATCCCATAGAGCCCAGCTCAATCCACAAGAGTTCTCAGCATATTCATCTAACCAAGTACCCATTCACACCTCTGCAATGACCACCTCTGTATAATTACCTAAATATGTAGTTACCCATCCTCCTGAACATTTCACCTACCAGACTGTGAGGTTCTAGGCATGTGTCCTATTTAGCACATTATTGGCCTGGCACAGATTTGGAGTTATAATTATGGCTTCTTGACTGAAAAAGATGATAATTTTGACAGGGACATCAGCTTGAAGGAGAAATTATGGGGGATTTGTTTGTTTGTTATAAAAAGAGATGCTCACAGGAAAAACTGAACACGTTCCACAAAACACGGAATGGCTGGTAGGAACAGAGATTAGAGGTACTACCTAGGAAAAGAATGGGGACAAAGTACCATGATGCTCCCCAGGAGATGGGTGGATATGTATGCAGATTAAAATGTAGCTAATGAAAACACCTCTGATGTGAGAGGCTCCCCTTTTCTCCGGAGACTACCTTAGCACCCGATATAGATGAGCCACTTGGCAAATGATCGTCAAATAAAAAGTTCAAACAGAGAACCGTGCATAAGGCAAAACAGTGTCCAAACCTGTGATGAAGGCCTGGTTTCTGGACTTCACTACACTGAGGTCAAGGAAAAGGTGAAAGAAGTCGGTAGCTTCCTTCCAAACTGTGGCTCTCCCACCTTCTCCAGGGACCTCATTAAAGGTGTTTAGCCAAGTAGGTGTAAGCCAGCCCAGGCCCTTGGAGACAGAACAGGGTGCTAGAGCTACACTGCCTGCCTCCACCCCTCTGTAACTGCTAGAGCCCTAGCTGTGTTGCTAAGAGCTTCAAAGACCAGAGAGAAGCTGCAGCTGGAGCCTCAGGGCAGCCTCTTCCAGGAAGTCAGGCACAAACCCTCACCTCCTCAGGCTACCTACAGGCAGAGAGGCACTGAATATTTCACAGGCCAAGACCAGGTCACAGAACCATGAGTCAAGACAGCAAAGTGAAGACAACAGAGTCCAGCCTCCCAGCCCCGTCCAAAACCAGGTGAGGAGTCTGGTCCTCTGTGGGGGCTCTGTTCACTTCACTCGTTGGAGCTTGGTGCCTCTCAGTGTCCTGGTCACAACCTAGCCTTGAATGTCTGGTGGATAAATGAAATAAGTCCTTTGTTCCCACAGGAAGAGGTTGCCTGTCCTAGACCCATCTGGGGATTATTACTACTGGTGGCTGAACACCATGGTCTTCCCAGTCATGTATAACCTCATCATCGTGGTGTGCAGGTTTGTCAAGGGTGCCAAATGAAGGGCCTTAAGCTGGAACAAATACTAAAGAGTGAGCTAAGGAGAAGGGCTGGCCCTAGTGTGTGACCTAAAGGAGGGGAGGTACCCATGGAAGGCCTGAAGGCAGACTGCTGAGATATCTGTCCTGGCATCACACCTTACACATAGATAGTGCCTTTAAGCCAATCCCTTCTGCCCCTGCCCTGCAGAGCCTGCTTTCCCGACTTGCAACACAGTTATCTGGTAGCCTGGTTCGTGCTAGACTACACAAGTGACCTATTGTATCTACTGGACATCGGGGTGCGCTTCCACACAGGTCAGTGAGCCCCCAGGACCTACCCTTTTCCCTAAATTTCCATCCTAAAGAAAGAAGGGAACCACCTCTAAACAGCACTTTCTTATGCCTCTGTGCCTGACAGCACCACCACACTCACCCCAGAAACCCTGAAGAGGTGCCCACTTCCACCCTGTCCTACCCTGGCCTGCCCCCAACCCCACCCACAGTTGATTCGCTGGGTTTACTTCTTGCCTCTCCCTAGGATTCCTGGATCAGGGGATCCTGGTGGTGGACAAGGGCAGGATCGCTAGGCGCTATGTCCGCACCTGGAGTTTCGTACTGGACCTGGCTTCGCTCATCCCCACCGACGCGGTCTATGTGAGGCTGGGCCCCCACACCCCCACACTGAGGCTGAACCGCTTTCTCCGGGTGCCCCGCCTCTTCGAGGCCTTTGACCGTACAGAGACCCGCACGGCCTACCCGAACGCCTTCCGCATCGCCAAGCTGATGCTCTACATCTTTGTCGTCATCCATTGGAACAGCTGCCTGTACTTCGCCCTGTCGCGGTACCTGGGCTTCGGTCGTGATGCATGGGTGTACCCGGACCCGGCACGGCCCGGCTTCGAGCGCCTGAGACGCCAGTACCTCTATAGCTTCTACTTCTCCACGCTGATCCTGACCACCGTGGGCGACACACCGCTGCCCGCGCAGGAGGAGGAGTACCTGTTCATGGTGGGCGACTTCCTGCTGGCCGTCATGGGCTTCGCCACCATCATGGGTAGCATGAGCTCCGTCATCTACAACATGAACACTGCAGATGCAGCCTTCTACCCAGACCACGCGCTGGTGAAGAAGTACATGAAGCTGCAGCACGTCAACCGACGCCTGGAGCGCCGAGTTATTGACTGGTGAGAAAGCGGGTTGCAGACCCAGCCCCCCCACACCCCCACCCCCCCCCACCCCCGAAGGTGCACCTAGGACCCCAGGGTGGTGACTGCGTTCCTGCCACCTGTCCACTAGAACAGGCAGTAAAGGGTGGAATTCATTGATAGGCTGGCTGGGGCTTGGAAAAAGGTGTCTTCTATGGAGGGAATCTGGACCCGAGACAGCTGACAAAGAGAGGAACTTGTGTGACATGAATGCCAGAGAATGTGATCTGAGCTGCCTGGGAAGGCTGGGAAGGAGTGGGTAAAGAAGAGAGCTATCCCCCAAGAGACAGTCAATAGATAAGGTAGAGTATCAAAAAGTCCCATTAGATTAACTGATCGGGAAATAAAATCTCTAGTCTGTCTGTCCAAAGACCCACCTTTCCAGTTTCACTGGTCCATCACCTGGCCATAGGACCACCCCTGGAAAAGTGGGTTCACCTCATGTCATGCTGAATAGATGGGTGGAGTACCTGGTGCATTAATGAGGTAGTGAGTTTTCCTGCCTGGAAATCTGCCCCCAGTTCATTTTTGTGGAGCAGGTTAAACACATGAGATCTCTGTAAGTCCTGCCTGCTTTCTGAATTCTTCAGAAAAGTGTATCTCTCCTTTTCTTCTTCATATCCCTTTTCTAAGCATGTTTTCCTTAATGTTTGAGCTGCCCTAATATCTTCTATTTCTTTACTTTTTCTCCAAATCTTCCTTCTGACCATCATGTGGCTGGTAGTTCACCATGTCTCTGACCTCCATGAAGGCTCCAAACCTGCATGACTCCATGACTTTTTACCTTCTCCCCTCCATTCGCCTCCTAAAGCAGTTGCTGAGATTCCCAGTTCACCTGCTTTGAGAATTTTTCTTTAAATTCCAATAAAATTGTCCTAAAGCCTCCATTTGAATCCATTCTTAAATACTTTTATGAATGAGACTTAAGAACCTTCTAGGGGACACTCTCTCCTGTATCAGATGGCTGATTATGGAAATGCAGAGAATGTTGTGAATAAAAGGAAATGTCACAATGTTGAGGAGCTGCCCCCAAAGCCTTTCTGTGAGGGTGAGCACTTGCTGTCCAAAGTAGCTTGCTTTGGAGGTGGTATAAGACATTGTGGCTGGGATGAAGAATGACAGGAGATAAAGGAAATGTATCTACTGTCAAGGGGCAGGGATCTTCATGCTTTGGGTGAGATAGAAAAGGCCATGCCTGTAACCATAAAGGAGGTCAGGTTACTGTCAAGTATCCCTGTGGCCCCTATGATACCTCAGTGTGGCTGATTGAAGAGCAGAAGCAGGCACAAAGGGCTCTGGGTGAGGAAACCATACTGCTTTTCTCCTAGGTACCAGCACCTGCAGATCAACAAGAAGATGACCAATGAGGTAGCCATCTTGCAGCATTTACCTGAGCGGCTGAGGGCAGAAGTGGCTGTATCAGTACACCTATCTACTCTGAGCCGAGTACAGATCTTCCAGAACTGTGAGGCCAGTCTGCTGGAGGAGCTGGTGCTAAAACTACAGCCACAGACCTACTCACCAGGAGAATATGTATGCCGCAAGGGGGACATTGGCCGGGAGATGTATATCATCCGCGAGGGGCAGCTGGCTGTGGTAGCAGATGATGGTGTGACACAGTATGCTGTGCTTGGTGCAGGGCTTTACTTTGGGGAGATCAGCATCATCAACATAAAAGGTGAGCATCCAAGGGGAAGTGCTAGGGACAAGGGAGGGTAGGGGAAAAGTGATTTCGGGACTCTGTGCAATGGACCAGCCCAGACCGGGGCAGTTCAGTCCGATGGGAACAGGGTCGTCGAGAGGGTGGACAAGGAGTCGGCGAGTGACAAACAGACGCAAAAGGAGCTTGATGAAAGTCTGAGTGTAATCTGTGCAGTTGCAAGGTTTGAAATATATACAGCAAAGATTACAAAAAAACGCAGAACAGTCATGCTAAGATTCACAGTTCCAGAGGTGAAAGTAAAACATAATTTTGCCAACATATCTCTCTATCTTATCAACCTGACACTAGACAGTAAATTCCTGTTTTTCTGTGTTTGTTTAATTGTCAGCCTTTCTCACATACTTAAGATTCTGTTCGGCTTTGTTTGTCCCAAGTCAGGGTGGCCTTGATTCATTAAGCACTCCATTAGGCACTTCCAACACCAGTGGTGCCAGGTTGTTACTTTTCTAACGATCTGATAACATTCCTTGCTTGTTTGTAGTGGGCCACAGGGCTTCTAAGTTAGTTTAACTCTATAAGTCCCAAAAAGGCTATTTCATGCTAGGGATCCATGAAACCATACTTTTCTCTTATCTTACCAATTTTCAAATACTTTCTATATTTGCTCTTTAATGCTCTCTTATTGATTGTTTATCAAAAGACTCCAAGGTGGTCTTGATCTTACCAATTTATCCATAAGTTGTAATGAATACCCAGAAACCCTTCTTCTATCTATGTCTCTCTTCTAGAAATCCGTTATTCCCTAGACTTTCCAGCATTAATTCTATTTAACTACTTCTTGCTGCATCTAAAATAACTTTTATTAATAGTGGTGCATCTGGACTAGGATGATTAAAGGATTTTATCTTTCATTAATAATGGTGCATCTGAACTAGGATGATTAAAGTATTTCAATAAAGGCAGTGATAATGGTGCCAAGGACACCAGGCACTTTCTGGGCCCCCAGAAAGCCCAAGATATAGTGACAGTTAGAAAGTTAATAGCAAGTAAGAGTGTGCCAGGTACACTGCATGTTTCTTGTCACAACCAATTCCAAGAGGCAACCTTCCTTGAAGTTCCAGCCTCAACCCACGGAGGATCTCACGCGGGCTTCATTGGAGATGGCGTGACAACTCTGTGCTTGGACACAGCATAATGGTTCTTTGGGGCACATAGATTAAGCAGACCAGGCCCTTACCTGAGTCACTTCAGAACTCAGGAGAGAAGCAAGACCTGGAGTATCTGTTCCCTGAGAAGAAGCTGAGCCAAGGTCCGTGGGCAGGGCAGATCCTTGGAAAACAAAGTAGACATGTTCCAGGATACCAACGGAAGCACCAACAGACAGTGGAAAATTTACCACACCAATCATATTGTTATATAACTACCCCCATTGCATATCTATTAAGGCAAGTCACTGATAGCCAACTAGCACAGGGCCTGGTCTCCAGTACATCAATGAATGAAAGAATGAAGCAGAAAAAGAGGCTCAACATCAACATGAGGTTGGGTCCTGGTTCAGGAATAAAGTGTCACCTCTCTGTTCTAACTATTCCCCATCTGTCTGTCCTTGCACCACAGGGAACATGTCTGGAAACCGCCGGACAGCCAACATCAAGAGCCTAGGTTATTCAGACCTGTTCTGCCTAAGCAAGGAGGACCTGCGGGAGGTGCTGAGTGAGTACCCACAAGCCCAAGCCGTCATGGAGGAGAAGGGCCGTGAGATCCTGCTCAAAATGAATAAGTTGGATGTGAATGCAGAAGCAGCTGAGATTGCCCTCCAGGAGGCCACAGAGAACCGGCTAAAAGGCCTGGACCAGCAGCTCGATGACCTCCAGACCAAGTTTGCTCGCCTACTAGCTGAGCTGGAGTCCAGTGCACTCAAGTTAGCTTACCGCATCGAAAGGCTGGAGTGGCAGACTCGAGAGTGGACAATGCCAGAGGACATGGCTGACGCTGATGATGAGGCCGAGCCTGGGGAGGGAACTTCCAAGGGTGGAGATGGAAGGGCTGGCCAGGAGGGACCCTCAGGCCCAGAGTGACATCATCCTGCCTCCGAGACTCTCAGCTCCAAGTGAATCCAGAGTGATAGGAAAGCTTGCATGCACAAACTGCCATCCTTCATGCTAGGTCACAGAGACTTAGTTGAATTGATCTATAGATGCCTAGCTAGAAATGTGGGGATATAGAAACATTCATCCCCTACTCATGAGGACACACACACACACACACACACACACACACACACACATGCACACGCACACACACACACTGGCTTAAGACCGAGTTCCACATAAAATGCTCTAGAGTTCCCATTCTCTAAGCACATGTGCATTCTCATACGGACAGATGTGACTTATACCCATGATCACAAACAGTGAAAGGCAAATGCACTGAGAGTGTTGGACCAGTTTTGGTACATTTGAAGGAGATTGATTTGGGGCAGGGACAGTGTTGGGGCTACAAGGAATGAAGTCCAGTATAATTTCTGAATCACCTTCACTCTCAGTCACCATTTTGGCTGCTTCAGGACATAGGCAGACTTCAGATATGAACTGTGCCCAGCGGTATTTTTTAATGAACCCGATGTTTAGCTTAGGGATGTACTGAATGATAAGTGCCACTATCGGGAGAGATTAAGGGTATCATTGCACTTTAAATCATTTTAAAATATGTAGTTACTTTGTGACATTAATAAAATATAAGATTCATAAGCCTGGCACTGGCTCTATCTTATTCATTTCTGTATCACCAGGGCCCAAACTATGCTGATAACCAAGGTGAGGCAAGTTCAAACATAGAGTTCATTGCTGGAAGAAGATACATGTCTCTCTAGAGGCTTTTCTACCACCTCTGCCCTCAAATCCTGTTAAACTAGAATGACTGGGTAGGATGGGAAGCATTTTAGTGATGTATCTGGTGGGCTTAGAGAAGTGAGAAGAAGCTTATTGTTGGCACACTGTGATACCCACATGTCCCCACTGAGGGCTCTAGTAGAATGGTGACTCCTGCCAGCTCCATAAGTCTACAGAAGCACAGTACAGTGAGAATTGGTTTCCACAATGTTCAGGATGTAGGAAAATAAAGCTGTTTCAGGGCCACATGCATCATCTACTGCCTGTCCCTCCAGAATGAGAGGTGTGGGTTCTTCAGCAGAGTCACCATAAGACACACTGAGTATCAGCAGTTCCATAATGGGGTCCTCTAGTTGTGGAGCAGTTGTCATTACCGTGTTGAAAACAACGTTCTCACAATTTGAGATTAAGCTGGGTAGTGTTAGGTCAGGATGGGTAGGAGTGAACACAATTTTAGGTTCCTATAATAACAAAAAATAAAGATCAGTTATTTTAGTCTAAAAAGTATTAGGGGGCTGGAGAGATGGCTCAGCAGTTAAAAGCACTGGCTGCTCTTGCAGAGGACTGGGATTCGATTCCCAGCACCCACATGGCAGCTAACAACTGTCCATAATTCCAGTTCTAGGGGATCCGATGCCTTATTCTGTCCTCTGTGGGCACTGCATGACATGGGTGCACTTACATACATGAAGGCAATACACTCATACACCCAAAATAAAACAAAATAAAATACTTTAAAAATAATTCAAAGATATTAGTATTTAACAAGCACTAAGCTAGGTACTTATATATGTGGCAAGAAAATTTATCAAAATAACCATTTGAGGTTTTGAACATTCATCCCTTTCTTCTATCACAGGAAGTAACATAAGCATTTACATCCCCTAAACTTTAGAGTTTTTAAAGCCTTTTTAATTGCAGGGTCAAAACCAACAATCATCAGAAACTCTCTGCCCTAGATTTTATGAATACAGATCTGCTAGAATTTCATCAATGATTGATTCACTTAGAGGTTAACGTCTCTGTCTGTCTGTAAGGGCTTAGAGTTGAAGGAATAAAAACTTCTGGACCCAAGAAAAGAATATCACCTAAGACTAAGAAAAGAAACAGAAATCTTGAAAAATATGTTAGAGGGTTTTTTTTTTTCCTTGCTGAAACATTCCCACAAATTTAACAGCCTAAAACAGCACTCACTTATTATCTCACAATTGTGTCACTCACAAATCCAGGCTCTGCTCATAGCCTCCTAAGCCTGAACTCAAGATGTCAGCTGGACTGGGTGGGCTCTTAGCTGGAGGCTTCAGGGAACAATCTGCTTCCAAACTCATTCAGGCTGTTGGCAGAATGGATTCTTCTTGATTGTGAAACAGAGCTTCTTTTTCTTTGAAAAATGGCTCCTTTACCTTCAAGCCAACCAGAGCATCTCAAATTTCTCTTATTTTTTCAAACTTTCCATTTCTACTACCAAGCAGAGAAAGAGTTTATCTTTGTAGGCTCATTTGATTAGGGTAAGTCCACCTAAAAATCCAAAATAGCTTCTCTATTTCAAGGTCAGCTGACTATTAACCTTACATCTTCAAAGTCCCCTTCTCCACATTCAGAAGGTAATAAGAGCCAAAATTCTGCCTATCATAGTCTCTTGGGAGAAGCAGCTTGCCGTCCCACTTTCACAGAGAGCTCAGAATAGGGTGCACTCAAAGTTGAGACTTTCAAAAACTAGAGAATGACCACAGTGTCTCAAGGCACTGGAGCCTCAGATCTTAACCCCCTAACAGTGGGTAGGCTTGAAGTAGGCAAATAGCAGGATTATCAGCACCATCAGAAGACTAGAGATTCTACCTTACTTGCCAAGAGACTTTTACAAGACCCTAAACCTGGGAGGCGACAACATAAAGAATTCCACAAAATTTCCAGCTGAAATTCAGTCCTCCAAAAGATGGTTAGAAACTTTAATGGAATTTGCAAAAATCAAGAAAATGAACATTTTAAAAAATATTTTACTTATTATTTTTATTTTATGTGTATGCTTGCATGTAGGTCAGTGCACCCATGCCGTGCAATGCCTGAGGAGGTCAGAAGAGGGTATCAGATCTCCTGAAACTGGAGTTACCAAGGGTTGTTAGCTGCCATGGGGGTGCTGGGAATTGAACCTGGGTCCTCTGCAAGAGCAGCCAGTGCTCTTAACCGCTGAGCCATCTCTCCAGCCCTGAAAATGAGTGATTTTTTTTTTTACAGACCATTATGGAAGCATTTATAACCACTGTACGTATATTATATACATTCATTCTAATAACAATGTTAGGAAGTTTATTATTATGTCTCTTTTTCTGTATCAGGAAACTGAAAGCCACAGAGCAGTTAAAAATACTAGATTTGATTTGTTAAGAAGTTACTTTATGCTAGATCCTGGGCTACGTGCATTGTCTCAGTTAATCATTACAACAATATGAGAACAATCACCTCATCTCCGTGTAGAAAAGAAAACTGAGGCTCTGGAATTAAATAACACACCCCGAACCACAGGATTCCTGGGTCATGTGGAATGAAATCCAGGTATGTCATATTTTTTTTCTTATCTGGGGATAAGGAAAGAGATAAGCTGAACCTAAGGCCAAAGCCAAGCCAGCTCCTTCCTTTGCAAAGAATGATGCTTTTGATCAGTCACTGTGGTAACCAGGAAAAGGCAAGTCAGTTGTACAAAGCTTGTGATTCACCAGCAAGGCAACCCAGTGTGATGAAGTATTTGATCTCAGGGCTACAAGAGGAAGCCAGGGACCACCTGCTGCTCTGGAAAGGGGGAGAGGGTCCCTATATACACCTGCAACTGTGAGAAGTGGGCAGAGGTCTGGGCATTGCTGCTAGATTTGCACAAGGGTGTCAAAACTATTCAAGGCCTCCTGCTGGGCGCACCACTGTGTAAGGCTTAGCTTTTTTCCCTTCCAGAGGACCTAGACTCACCCTCTTCTCTTCACAAGTCATGACTGCAAGATACGTGGGCCTTGTTGGGATGTACACCCTCCTCAGTTTTCCCAGTTAGCAACTCACTTAGAGAAAATGTTTAGGTCCATCCCACTCCATCCCTTTTCTTTCTTAGTGTTTGGCTGCTAGGCTTGGAAGACAGATGGAAATAACCTATCAAGCTTGGGAGGGAATCAGATTCACAGTGAGAGGGGCCATTCACCCTGAGGAAACATGCAATTAATTGGTGCCTATCAGAGTTAGGGTTTCCATGTGAAACATCACTCTCAGCCTGTTCTACAAAGTTTTTCAGGGTTGTTGGAAGCAAAAGCCAGAGAATTAAAATGTAAATGAGTTTATGAACGTAAACTTCCCACCAGCACCTGGCACATACAGATTTCTCAATTGCAAATATTACCTATGACTATTACTCATTTCCCTCTAATCATGGTTTTGCCATTGTGCATTGGGACGTCAAGCTGTCTAGCTCTGCTTGGCCTCTAAAGGTCGCTGGGCTGTACTGGCAGTGCCAGGTCTAGCCAGCAGAGGGTGCAAGGCACTCCTTCCCTCCCCTCTTTCCAACTCTCTCGTATGCTTCAGGATTGCATTACTTTGAAAACCGAGAGTAATAATACTCAGGGAGAAGAGGAATCTTAGGGGCAAGGGAGATACTGGAGGCAGTGTGATCTTGATTGGTCTGTGAAACCCCTTGTTTAGATTTTTTTTTTTCACAAGTGTTAAAATACTTCAATAGTGAAGCTAAGAGACACTGCTGAGAGTTGTTCAAAGTCAGAGCTACCAGCTGCTCTGCTGAGGTCAGCACCACCAAAGGCTGGGAACATTCAGGACTGGCTTCCTCACAAACTGTAAATTCCTTGCATTTCTCATCCCCAGATTCTTGGACCCGGAAGCCCAACGGCCCTTTCCTGTCATTGCCTTCCAGGTTTCTGTGCCTTAGTCTGCTGCTCTGAGCCTTATCCTTCACCAGCATATCCTTCGGGGCCCCATTCTTTAAAGCTGTCTCTGGGTGGCCTTCCCTTTGGTTCTAGTTAACCCTTAAGTGAATCCCTGACCTGGCAGATCTCTGCCCCTCCTTAACCAACACCCAAGTCTGCTGCCAGGTATGACCATTGAGCCAGAGCTGGTCCCTGGTTATGGGGCTGTGCTCTCCTCCAGGGACCTGAAAGGGCAACCCTGTCCCTGATTTCTATCTTCTACCAGCATTCCCGCCTGCTCCAGCTTGGGTCTGCCTGCCTTCCCAGCCAGCTCCCTCTTTGTTTAATTAAC